TATCTGAGCTTCTTCTTGGAACATGTTCTATGGAAGTGTTGAGATTTTGTATTATCACATCCTCGAGTCAACCAACATTTGGGGAGAATAGGACACATATATCACTTGTCACGACTTGTAATCATACAAATCGTGCCAAGTTACAACTCGTAAAACATTATTGCACTAAAAATATCTCGTATCACGTGACTTAAAATAGATCAATATTTATAGCTTGTTACGTATTGAACATGTACTGCCAAAACGTTTCAAAATCGTGTAAATCAAGCACGGTAATTGTTGTAGAAATCAGTCTATTTGGAGAAATATTCATGTTAATTCAGAAAAGTAATATTTCAATTCTACCAAATCATATCACATTGCTATGCAAATGATAACCATTGATTGCTTACGTGGCTGCCACGAAACCTTTGGTTATAAGAATTTTATTACATGTCAACTTGTGTTTTGTGTGCAAAAGCTCGATGTCAATGCTATTTGCCGTTTATAACGCATGGCATAAAACTGTTTTACCTAAACTATAACTATCCAAAATTATCCTATCTTTTCTACTCATTCTACTATGTCATTTACTTCCATGTGATAGCTAAGAGATGTCAATGCTAAACACACGCGTAACTTGAACAATAATCGTGCAATGAGATAATAGTAATTTCAAGTTTATCGAATTTGAAATTTGAAACCATTATGCGAAGTCGCACACTCGTGATGGGATGTAGAAATCATTTGGCATGACTTTGGAGAGGTTAAAATGAATGCTTGAGATTCAAAAGTTACTTTGAATCAATTTGATTAATTTTATAAAAATATTTCTTCCTATTAGAAGAGATTTTAAACGAAGTTGACCCATATAAAAATTCATTTCCAAAAGCCAGTTAATATAACTTTCTCGTGAAGATCTTCTACAAAAAATAGAAGCAAGAGCATAAATTCTACCAAGTGAGCCCATATTTTCAAAGTAGCTCTATTCTTCATTTAGCATTATATTGTTTTGAATTATTATAATGTGAGAGTATGCTGAATTATTATTTCTCATCAAGATTTAAACTTTGTAACTCAATGTAGTTAAATTCTATTTCCTCATCAAGATTTAAACTTTTCAATTCAATGTAGTTAAATTCTATTCTCTTTTGATCGGTATACATAGAAGCATTAATTTGAAAGTTAAATCATACATGTTAATCCAACTTCGAGATCTCATCTATGTGAATACTATATTTATCTAAATGCAGGATTCTTATGGAAATTGCTTTCCTTGTTACATTTTTGGGTTCTATTAGACACATGCATTGGTCGTCCAAATCTCATCATAAAGCTAATTTGAATGAATTAAGGGCATCTCCAATGAGGGATTAAAATTGGTTAAATTTAGTGTAAAATCCTCTCCAATGAGTGGTCAAATATAATGCAAAATTTGGTGTGACACTATTCATTTATATCAGGATAAGTATATTACCATTGCAAGTTTTACTTACTACACCACAATTAAAATGTTTTCAATAAATGCACCACATCAAATTTATAATTATAATATTAATCCAATAAAAACTAAAAAGAATTATTATATTGCCTCCACAAATATTATTGCTTTACCACTTTTTATGCGCTCCTTAATCAAAATATACTTTTCATAAACACCCCAAAACAAATTTATAATTATAACCTAAACAAGAAAACAATAACAAACTAAAAATTTGATTTAGTTCTCTTAATAAAATTGGTCTTTTAAAATGTAAATACATTCCATGAATTTTGAATTTGCATGAATTTATGTAAATGTTTGTGTTTTGAATCGTTAATGGATTCCAACAATATAGTTTTTGTCAATTAAAATCAATTCAATAATGATATTTTTAAATTGACCAGTAAACATCATAACGAATTGATACATTTATATCCCACCTGGGACAAATATTACTAAGTCATGTCCCATATATATATAAACTCTAGTGCATGTTTTCACCCATATTAGATATAGGTAACTACGATCAAGTTGTGGTGGTTTTGTAAGGTTTTACGTGTATTTATTTCCTGTTAATTTCACGTTAAAATGGGTGTAAAAAATTCACTATCTCAAAATTTAAGGCATGTTCGGTAGTGATTATAAGAATTGATTTTTTGACTGTTAGATAGAAAAATAATTCCCACCTGTTAATGAAGAAGTAAAAAAGGATGGTTGGAATGGTGAAATAACGATAAAAGGATGGTTTTTGGGGTAAAAAATTGCTACCAAATGGGGGCTTAAAGAAATGATACATATGTAAGAAATCTACAAGAAAATTATAAAAATGAATTATTTTTTACTCGTCATTTATTGAAATTCGAACAAATTGAACATTAATTTAGTAAACAAAAAGGTGGTGCGTATTTCCCTTCTCTTTGGTCCCTCTCAAGAATCGGCTCTCCACCATTTTCCTTCTTTTGCCATAAACAATCTTTGAAAAAGAAGAAGACCAAAATGGATATTAATTTAGTAACTTCAACAAAAACTATATTTCGTTATGACGCAGCACAAAATAAAGAATTCAAGCGAAAACTTTAAGAATACGAAATTTGAAATCCACCAAAGTATAAGAGAATCACAAATTTTATTAATGAAAGATAATCAAAACAACAAAATATCCCCTTATTGATAAGGGTTTACATGAAAACGTAATTTAAAATAACTAAAATTGAAAAGAATCCAAAATAAACTAAATGACAGAAATAACGCTAAAACTTTAAATATTAATTTTTGAGTCATAAACGAATTCGAATGGTCAAAATCCATTGTACATCATAGCATAGCTATGAATATTGCTCGTCTCATCGTCCTGTTTTCAAAATGGTCTTATGGGTCCAATTCAAAATTCGAATGTTTTCTCTCTATTATTACCTCCTCCCCCTCCACCCTCCCTTTTTATCCAATTCTTCTTACATCCATTCAACAATATGTATACATCACTCTATCATTCATTGAGGTAGGGGGTTGCCATGGCTAGCAAAAATAACTGATGTTCGAGACCTATCGGAAAAAACCCTGTTATTAATTATATGGTACATGGTAGAGAAGGTATGGTACTAGCAATTAAGGCTTTTGGATCTTGAGTAGGGCCTTTGATTCTCTTTTTGTGTGGTGGTAGAATTCCAAATCCTTGTGCAGTTTTGGATGTTGTAACTCTAGTGTTTTACACTAGAGTGATGGTAGTAATATAACCACCACAATGGTATGAATCTTTAAATCTTTTGATGCATGAATTATTGCATGTTTATTTAAATAAGAGATATATTTTTGAGGTGTATAAATGATGGTGATGAAATTAATAAATATATTATTGAATTAACAGATAGGATATTTATATCATTTTACTCATGATTATTTAAGTAAATAAAAAACTTGTGGTGTGTCAAACACTTATTGTGGAAGTAATATAATCACCCTTATGTCAAATATAAGAATTTTCAATAACCCCATTTTGCCCTTCTTTCCACTTTACAAAAAATTGTTTCTTCCGTCTATGTCCCTCTTTAATATTTTAGTAAGTATTAATAGATTTTCATTGATATATAATTACTTTAATATGATGATTAATATTATTTAACATTTATTTATAAATTTTTTGTCAACTAATAAGTAATAATTATGACAACAATAAATTAATATTGTTCATTAAAAAGTCAAATTACAGATTCTATAATTAATAAATTAGAACTAGAACAACATAAATAATTAAAAGAAAAAAGTACAACACAACATTTAACTAAAATAATAATTTATTACCCCATAAGGTCTCTTGTGCGTTCAATGTAATTTTTATAATTTGCGGTATTATGTTTAATATTTTCAATTTATTAATAAATGGAATATTTTAGTTAATTAAATATAATTTATAATTTAATGACTAAATAATTCAAAATAATTTTTGGTGTAAAATTATTTTCAATGGTCTATACTAAATTTGGTGTGATTTTGCATGAAGGGTGAGTGGGAGAGGGACGGGAAAGGTAGCTTGCACACAACTTTTAAAATTGGAAAATATATGGAATTCGAGGAATCAAGGATCTGTACAATTAAGGGTGGACAAAATGTCCAAACCGAACCAGAACAAAACGAAATCAAGCGACTAGATTCTGTTCCACAAAAAAAATGAATGGTTTTGATTCCTTGTAACGAGAACCATTTGATTCTGGTTCACGTTTGGTTCTAGTTCTAGAACCAAACCAAGAACCAAACTTAATTTATAATTTTATTTTTATATGAATCTAATCTTGTATTAATTGAAGTCAATCCAATAACCATTATTTTTTGTACAGCCCATTAAGGGTATTACTCTAAATTCAAACCCTCAAGAGTTCCAAACATTGCTCTGCATATCCTTCAAACGAAGTAGTGAAGTATTATACGATTAATGATCGTCCAGATGGTAAGGGCTCAGTTTCTATTATGAAACTTGATATTATTAACTTTTGGCAAAGAAGCATTCGTTTATATTTTGTTTGTCAGTTTGAAATTTTGAAATCTTGATGATTGGTAATTTGAACTTGCTAAATGATTGATGCTTATATTTCTTATTTAAGTATATATTACTAACTTATGGATGTAGCGTAAGTCTGAAAATTTAAGTAATAGAATTAGAACCAAATCAGAACCTGATGGATCGGTTCGGTTTGGTTCCATACCTTTAAAAAACCCATTTGGTTCTATTATCAAGAAAATCATTGATTTATAATTCGATCTAGTTCTCTTAGATTCAGAATCAAATGAAATCATATCCACCCTTATGTACAATTGTGTAATGATTTATTAAAGACCACACAACTGCCTATTTGAGTCCCCAAAAAAATAAGAAAAATGACTTCTCATTTGAATCCCTTCAGAAGATTTTGAGAGAAATCATAGGGTTGGGGTTGTAATGTCAAAAGAATAGAGTGGAGACCATTTTCTACTGCGTTTCAATAGGTTGAGGACAATGCTGCAATTTTTCCAATTTTATAGATAATTGAAGTATAGACGGGAACAAAGTCTAGGCAGTCGAACAAGTTAAGAATTCTCCCGTTTTCATGTTTATATTGTCAAAATCGGGTTACAAAAAGTACACACAATTGCGGTATGTCGATTGGCCGACCGCTGGAATTGGAAGACAGTTCAATTTACTTCTCCGACGCTGCCGACAACGACGCCTTCCGGGATATCGCCGCCGAGCAACGCCGCGAATTGATGGCAGCGAAGGCTGTGGACTCCGACCTTGACTTAGCATTTAATATTCAACTCCAAGAAGCCATCAATGCATCTCTTTCTCTAAACCAGAACCAACCCTCTTCCTCCACTTCCTCGGACTCTCCTCCCCAACCCCAGTCGAATTCCCGTCAGTTAGACGAGGACTTCTCGAATTTCACTGACCTCCAGTCTGGTGAGCTTCTAAAACTCGAGCAGGAACTTAATGACCATATAATCTCCGAAGCGGAATTTAATAAATTGAAGAGTGATCTCCACCGCATGATCCATGACCATCGTGTAGCTTTTGAAATCTCGAGAATGTCAGACGACGAGTGGGAGGAATGGGGGGACAATTTTGAGCAGCCCTTTGGCGAGGGCACTTCCAAAGGTGTGAATAACGAGATTTTTAGGATTTATTTTAAGGGCTTACTGGAGGACTTGCCAAACGGCACTGTTCTGGGCGGGATTGGTGTAGCAATATGTGATTCTAGGGACAACTTATTGTTCGAATTGCGAAAGCCATTGGTCGGAAATGGGACGAGCAGGCGGTGCGCGGAAATCAGGGCTTTGATCGAGGGTCTCAACGCCGCACTGGAGCTAGATTTGGAAAGGGTCGTTCTTTATTGCGACTACTTTCCGGTTTTCCAATTTGTGAGTTTTGGTTCATTTTATTACTCCGTCTATTAGAAAGTTTGGAATTTTATAATTACGCGCATTATTAGGAAATGTGATTCTTATTATTGTTAGTAAAGTACGTATTTTTAATAAGATGTTATATTCTTAAATACATAGGCGTTAAAAATTTAGAACTGTGACTGACACAAAATTAAATGCTTGCTTACGCTGCCGGTGTTCTTTGGAATCTTAGTGGTTTCTTTTTTATGAAACAGAGCAAATTTGTGCATCAGATATATGTTTATTAATAAAGAGAAGGTGAAAAATTGCTCATTTGCATGATCCTAAGCTATATCCTCGAATATGTAAGATTGTGGAGACATGCAACGGGCGGTGGTGGGTTCAGGCTTTCTGCTGGGGGGAGAGACATGTAGAGAGTGTACATTCAAGGGGGAAATAAGATTTTCTCCCTCTTTTGCGTGCACATCTTTTGTCTGTCTTGAGGAGTTTTGGAGGTCTTATTGATATTTTATCAGTTGGAGAAGTAATACGTCCTTGATAGTGAGAACACATTAGATAAATAGTGAGAGAGTTGAAAAGAGTGGTTTGGTTTGGGAGTTCCATCATGGACGGGAGAAATAAGGGCAGTCCAAGAGAAAACTTGAAGTGGAAAAATAGAAATTGATCTCTTTCTCGAGAGGAAGAGAATGGAAAATTGAGTTGATTTTGTTTACAGTATTCAGAAATAGGTGTTGACTTAGAAGTTTGAACCGCATATAAAAGTGAGAAATGTTTGAAAATATTGTTTCAACCTGCTAGCCATCCACAATACCAAATGGGAGAGGAAATAATTTTACCATCAGTCTCCATAACATATGGAATATTCTGTCATTAGATTTCCCATGTCTTCTAATTTGCACTATGAGAATCATATCGTGGAATCCTAGGGCTTACAGACTTAGGTGAAAAGGATATTGCGACAGCATTTCTAATAAATGAAAGTTTGTTCTTGTTTAATTAAAAGAACTGCAAATAACATGAGTAGTTTGATTATAAGTGGTTGTTTGGAAAAATGTCTTTGATGGGATCATAATGGCAAAATGATAAAATTATTGGCAAGTGGGGGTGAGTAAGTACCAGAAAAGTGTATGCTTGTTTAGTTAATTCTCAGTCACCTTTTTTGTCAGATATTTAGAGGGGTATTGTTCTTGTTTCCTACTCATTGGGAAGTTATGGCCCATGGTGTTATTATGATAGTTAATGCTGGCATCTTTTTTTTTCTGCATTTTGAGTAATTTTTTGTTTTATCATGTGACAAGAAGCTTGTGGGCATCCCTCTCAACGCTGATGATTCCACATTGTATGCTAATTGAGGTTCCTTGTTACAATGAAATAATAATTTGTTTCTAGTGTTGGGAATTGGATAATTATTGATCAGCTCTACCTATAGGGTTTTCTTGATCATGGTAGTTCATATGATCTTTCTAGTAGAATCAGAATATGTAGTGTTCTACAAGTATAAGTATAATAACTCTTCATATCTTAAAGCGTGGGTGGGATATATCCCTTCTCCAGTTTTTACAGCTCATTGGAGATATTTTATTAAAACGCTTTTAACCTAGACACTTGCACGGACTTGGAGAGCTTCCGTGATTTCCTTCCTTCTTTTTCTTCCTCTATCTTTCTGTTATATCTCCTTTTTAATTTGTTGTTTGCCACTAGACGTATTATTATTTTTATTAAAGGATGTCCCGCATCAATGGTGGAGAGTGAAGAAGTTAAGACAACATTCTTTTTTCCTTTTCAGTGTTTGTTGTGCATGGTGAGAAAGATGGGGGCTTTGGATGGAATGATATTTGAAAAGACTCGGTTTCTGAAGCTTGGTTAATCTTTCCACAACCATGTTCTGCTTGCAGATATGGATACTTTTATAAATATATCTCACCTTAACACAGTCTTATGGAATTATTTAAATAATCTCTATAGGAAGAAGAGTAATGAAGAATCTCAATATATATTTTTTTAAATATAATTTTAAATATAATTTTGATTGTTGACATTCTGCTTGGTTGTGAAATGATTATACTTGGATATTACCCGAACTATGTTCCTATGCATTTTTCCGAATTACACTTCATGTTGTTGACATTGTATTTGAAACTGCAGATTACAGGCAAATGGCCAGCAAAACAGCCGAAGGTTTCTGCTCTAGTGAATCAAGTTTATCACCTTCGCAAAAAGCTTACATACTGCCAGCCATCTCTTGTGGCTCGAAATGACATTAAGTTTGCATTTAAGCTCGCAAGACAAGCTATAGTGTCTCAGATGAACAAGCCTGCAGAATGTAATGGTTCTAGGAATTCACAGGAGACTTGTGTGATTTGTTTAGAGGACACAAATATTGATGAAATCTTCTCAATCGACGATTGTATGCACCGTTATTGCTTTTCTTGCATGAAACAACACGTAGAAGTGAAGTTACTCCACGGGATGCTGCCTAAATGCCCGCATGAAGGCTGCAATATTGAACTGAAAATTGATACATGTAGCAAATTTTTGACGCCTAGATTGACTGAAATTTGGAATCAACGCATTATCACCAGGAAACTTGTGTATCATTTATGTCGAGCTGAAAATGCTGAAAACTGACCCATGGATCTAAGACACTGACTTCTCAGCTCTCTGATTCCACTCTGCATGTCATTTTTGTGCTCTGCTTTATGCCCATTGAAAACTTCTGAGCTCTGTTTTAGACTTGGTGTTTCTGGACCTTTTGGTTTGTTTTAGGGTTTTCCCCTATGTTTGGTGGTTTATTTCTTTACATTCTCTGTTACCTGCCTGAGGAAAATATGTTACTGTTCGTCATTGTTCCATTGGCATTATGATTAAGCTCGAGCTCTTCTCGAAGATGCCCAATCCAGATAAAAAAGGTTTGATAGTCTGGACAACTGAAGGCCTAATATTTTAATAAATTGAAACTGGAGTTTACACCGGAAGTTGATGTTATACAGTAGTTGCATTGAAAAAAACGTAGCGTATGCGGTAAGTAATATTCAGAATGTCGAAGGAGAAAGTGATGTTTGTTGTTTAATGTTGTTTATAGTAAAGAAGTTATCGTTATTTTGTCAGAAACTTAGACACCTGGCCCTTCATATTCTCAACTTGATGGTGTTTGATGTTGCATTAACATTTTCCCTGTCCTTTAATTTGTGGCAAATGTTCCCGAGCAGATGTGGTCATGAATTTTGCTATACTTGTGGAGCTGAGTGGAAAAACAAGGAAGCTACTTGTACCTGTCCACTCTGGGATGAGGAGCATATTTTAGATGATGAAGACGAAGACAATGAAGATGAAGATTATGATTACTTTGATTCATCAGAAGAAGATTATTATTGACCTTATTCATTTTCTTTAGCTGTTGTTCTCCGTTCGTCCCCAAATTTCTTGATAACAGTTTTGGACACTTGATGAAGTTGGCCGGCGATAGGTGCCTCATAATCGATTAAAAAAGTTTGATTTTCAAGACCAGCCATGCTTATTGCTTCTGCTGGATAAGTTGTTGTGCATTGATGTTTGGCACAAGAATTGAATTTTTAGGGTTTTTTTTTTTTGGATGAAATTACTCTCATTTTGTAAATATTTCGGATGAAATTACTATCGTGGGTCCAAATTGAGATTTTTCATGATCCATGCATTTGATGATGATGAAGCATAATTTGGTCTCTCAAGTCGTCATGGGTTCACGAGAGGAGATTTATTTTGCTACTATATCTTTTGAACTGCACGAAATTTTCATTTTATTATAGAAATATTGTTTGGTTAAATATTTAAGTAGTTTTATGAATTTACGATTATAAAAAAAATTATGTTTGAGGGAATCAAAAAAGTTAATCGCCTAGAGCCTCCAAATTCTCCGGACCGACCTTGGTTAAACGAGTTAATTTCACTTTCGGTCAAAGTAGATCACTCGATTATAATCTATCGCTATCAAATTAGTAATGTCGAATTATGTTGATCACTTCATTAACCCCATTATTTAACTTACCTCTCCAATTCTAATGTAGACGTTAAATTGATGGCAATTTGACGTGATTATGCTTCGAGATAAATACACCTTATTCAAGTCACTTTGAAATTATATGTCACCTAATAGACGGTTATTTATTTTCATAATCTGCCGACTCAACTCAATTAAATTGTATATTCACTTGGACACGTAATACACATCAAATTGCAGTCAATCAGATTGATACATTCAATTTTAGTAACAAGGACTAACATTAAACAGAAAAATTCGGCTGCAACGAAATTAGAATTAGATGATTCAATTGAAATTTTAGTTACCAAAATAAAAAACGAAGTAGAATTTGAATATGTGAAGAAATGCTCATTCCTGCGAGTTAATTGTTTCAATAATCACCCAACTTATATCGTGGTTACGGTTTACTCATTAAACTTCAAATTGCTTCATAGTATTCACTGAATTTTGTCCGTTTACATTCCATCCATCACCTTTAAAGTTCCATTGCCTTATTTAATGACGCGACTAATGAAAATCTAACGTGTCCAGTTACGAATATTAAAAAATTACGACTCAGCCAAACTATTGTTTCATTACTCATCTAACTTACACTATGTCAGAACTTGTTAATTGAACTTCAAAATACTTCCCAATAAACATTCATATTTGAGATATTGCACTTCATCTATTATTTGCCATATTTCGTTCGCTTCGTTGCTAATTTATTGTACGAAATTTCATAGGTAAGTACAATCATAAAAAAAATTACAACTTAACCAAATTATCAACTCGCAAAAATCACCATATGTGAAACCTGACTTCCATGTCTCATAAACTTCTTTAAAATCCAATAAAGCATCCCCAGTTTCAGCCACAAAAAACTCTAGTGATAAATGCGTTATATTACACTTATTTATACCTTTAGATTAGAGTATTTTGTTGGATATTTTAATGAATTATGGCTTAATTTTGTATATATTGTGTTTGTTAGGTAAATATTGATAAAATTGATAGAATTGAAGGCAATGAATGAGAAAATAGTAAAACGTAGACAAAGTATGATTGAAATACAAAACGCTTATTGAAGATCACATATGATCAATTGGATATAATTAGAAATTAAAGTGGTGAAATGTAGATAAAGCATTTTCACAAATCAACTTAATATCGAACAAGTTACTCTTCAGATTATCGATTTTAGATTAAAACCTATTTTTCACCCAGTAAATCGTTCAAATTTAAAAGTTACATTTCTAAAAGAATCATTTGGGGATGCTTTATTGAGTTTTAAAAAGGTTTATAGGGGCAATGGAAGTCACGTTTTTTCATAAATGGTAATTTTAGTAAGTTGATAGTTTTGTTGAGTTATAATTTCTTTAACATTTGTAATTTACTTTGTGGGATTTTTATGCGAACATTAGCAACAGAGAGAACGAAATATGGTGGATAATGGATGAAATGCAGCATTTCAAAGATGAGGGGGGAAGCATTTTGAAGTTTGATAAGTAAATTGTGACCAAGTGCAAGTTGGATGAGTAATGAAACAATGATTTGATTGAATTATAGTTTTTTAATGGTGATAAGTTGTCATGTCATATTTTCGTTAGTTACATCAGCAAATGAGACAAGAGTTTTTTTAGAGTGATGGATGGAGTGGAAACGGATAAAACTCGGTGAACAATGTGAAGTATTTTAAAGTTTAGCAAATCGTGATAATGGTATAAGTTGGGTGATTACGAAGGTCATGTTCTCTTTGCTGTTCTCAAGTCGTTTTCTATTTTCAATTTTTCAAAACAGTGAAAACGCGTTCTCTTTTCTATTTTAGAAACGAAATTTTTTTTTGTAAAGAAAATGCAAGACGTCAATTTGGAAGTTTTCTGTACAAAACCTAAATTTTTTTGAAAACACGGGAAACGAGAAAGAGAAACTCGTTCAAGCCCGTCTCTCTTCTGTCTCCTTTCACTCTTCCCAAATAGCCTTCTCTTCCTTCTCTCTCGACGACGGCTTCTCTCTCAAACACTGCAACCAACAATGAAGGAGATGTGCCAATGTCGGCACAGGCGTGGAGAGGCGACCCTGCAGTGAACGCAACGTCGCAATCGGTGTTGATCTACGTTTTTGGAGGTTTTTTGATTTGGTGACGATAGGTGGTGGTGGTGGCAGTCAACGATGGTGATGTGGTGCAGTGGATGAATTGAATGTGCATGGTTGTGGTGGTATGTTCTTCTTTCTTCTCCGTTTTCTGCATTTCTTCCCGAATTGATGGTTCATGGTGGATAAGTTGACGGTATGTTCTTTTCTTCTCCTTTTCTACGATGGATGAATGGATGTTCACGGTGGTTGAATTGATGTTGATTTGGTTGATTTTGGCGGTCGCAGTTGATTTTGGATGATGGTGCGGGTTCATTGTGGTGATGGTGGTGGTGGTGTGTTGGCGGTCAGTGGTTGTGTTGATCTTGGTTGGCAGTGTATTCGAGCTAGCGGTGGCGACTTTATAGTGGATCTAGTGGTAGTGTTGTGGTAGCTTCTTGAATAAAATAGCATGAAAAGATATTCTCAAAATTTCAAAGTAAACGCATTTTTCATTTTTATATTTTGGGAAACAATTTTATAAAAGGACGTAAAGAACTTATTTTCAACAATTTCAAAATAAATCCTCCAAGCACAAAATTCAAAATGAACTCAAAATTCAAAATTACGAAAGACAAACAGTCATATAAGTCTAAGGGGGCTGTTTGGGCCCATTTTTCACCCAAAAAATTGATTTTTTGACCTTTATTTTATTATTTCAACCATCATATTTGGCTTCTTCTCTCACTTGACCTCACTTTTCTCTTAACGATTAAAAAATCAATTCACATAATCAAAATCAACTCCATCATCCACAGACACTGTGAAGTTAAAAATATTAACCCTGACGTTAACAGCCATAAAAAAACCCTCAGAAATTACCGGGGGGAAAAAGTTGAAGTAAAGTGAAAAACTTATTGAGATCGCATAGTTACTGAAGAATTTTTTTGGCGCCGGAATGGAAGTGAACGAAGACATCTCCACCCTGCTGGATGCGCAACGCCGTGAAGTTGCGGCGGCGCAAAACCTTGAGTCTGACCTCTCCTACGCCTTCCAACTTCAACTCCAAGAAGCTCTCACCGCATCCCTCCCGGTCGACGCTGCTTCGTCCTCAAACCCAATAACTATATCAGACGAAGTTGTTTCCGAACCTAGTTACCTGGAAACCCTTGAAGATGAACTTTTGACGTTTGAGCGGGAACTTCTCGATTATTACGAAGCCGAGGAGGTAATGAAGCGATTCAAACTCGACCTAGACCGTCAGGTCCACGATCATGCTTTTGCCTGTGAAATTTCGAATATTCCGGAGGAGGAGTGGATAAAAACGGGGGGTAATTTAGAGAGGCCGTATGGAGGAGGCTCGACGACTTCAAATGGTCAGGATTTTAACTTTAGGGTTTATATCAAGGGTTTGGTTGATAAGATGGTGGGTGGGATTGGAGTGGCTATATGCGATGGAAATGATGGCTTGGTATTTGAGGTGAGCAAGGGTTTAATTGGGAATGACCGCGAATTAAACGCTATGGTAGTTGAAGTGAAAGCACTAATTGAAGGGCTTGAAGTTGCTACGATGCTGGGTTTGAAGAGACTTTCAATTGTTTGTGATAGTGCTTTGCTGCATCAATTCGTAAGTGACTATTGTGTATTTTTCACTATTATTATTTGAGTTTGTAGGTTTGTTGACCTTGCTTTGAGTATTGATTTCGGGTTCCAAAACTGCTTGCAGTCTCATTGAATTAAAGCTAACTAGTACTAACTATAAGTGCGGTTGAAAATTTTAGAGTATTAATGGTCATTTATCAATAATGAATTGCTCTTGAAAATGATGTGGTATTTTATTTAAGTTTCTATTACAAATACAAGTGAAGTAATGGTTACGTAAATAAAAGTACATCTTATCTAGTTCATTTTCTTATGTCTTTTTCTTTTTCTTTTTTCTTTTTTTGTTGTTGTTGTTAATATGAATTTAATTTGGATAAAAGTGTTCTAATCTGGAAGTTGCAACTTCAGCTGGTCTTTTCTTAGTCTGACATGGTCAGTTAACGGTGTTAAGATGTTCCTCATATGTGAAATATTTTTAGTAGTTTAATTGTGAGAGACATTTTCTTTTTGCATTCTCTATCTATTTTTTTCCCCCTAGAGCAATGCATGCTCTGTGTGTATTTTTTAAAATTTTTATTTGAAAGAATTGCGTATTTATATGCCATGTTATTAAATAATTTATAATGTCTGTCTGAAAAACTTGCCAACATATTGCGGGCTGTGGTGAGCATAGTCAATGTAATTGCAATTTAGAATACTTTTCGCTGTTGTAGAACTTGTTTTAGACACCATTTGTAGGACCAGGGTCTATGTGAATGTTGTACCACCGGTTTAGAAATTATTAAATAATAAATATTCATTTTGTTAATTATCCAAAATTAGCAATATTAAATTTCTTCCTTCTGTCGTAAATAAAGGAATGCATTCTCAGAAAATTTGTATTATCCTGGTTGACTTGGTACCTCACATGCAGATAACAGGGAAAAACCACCAAATGCAGGCAAATGTTGCATCATTGGCTTCTCAGATGAACCTTCTTCTGAGAGAATTCACTTATTATGAAGCAACTATTGTGGCACACAAGGATATTAAGTTTGCATTTGAGCTTGCAAGGAAAGCAATAGCCTCCCAGGTCAATCAATCTGCAGGAAATAACAATGGGAAGAAAAGGATTGAGACTTGTGCAATTTGCTTGGAAGATATATTTGCAGATGAAATGTTCTTAATTAGGGATTGTCTCCACAGCTACTGCTTTTCTTGTTTGTCCAAACACGTCCAATCTAAATTGCTTCAGGGAATGCTACCTAAATGCCCATATGAGAAATGCCAGTCTGAGCTGAAACTTGAAAGCTGCAAAACATTTTTGACTCCTGAGTTATTTGATATTATGAGCACACGTGTGAAGGAAGCATCCATTCCTGTGGCAGAGAAGATTTACTGCCCATATCCTATGTGTTCTACTTTATTTTCAAAAGCTGAGCTTCAAGGATATACAGTCGGTGTTATTGAAGGATTGGCTGCCAGAAAATGCCCAAAATGCCTTGGCATTTTCTGTATCAATTGCAAAGTCCCCTGGCATAGTAATATGAGTTGCGTTGCCTATGAAAGATTGAACCCCGATCCCTCTGGTGAAGATCAGAAACTAAAATCTTTGGCTACTAGGAATCTCTGGCGTCAGTGTCCGAAATGCAGTCATATGGTTTCACTTGCTGAGGGTTGCTACCACATTTATTGCAGGTATTCTTACTTTCTACTTCATTTTATGTTGTTTAATGTCTTTGAGAATTCACACTTGTGAAAGATCAAGAGATTATTTAAGTAACTTGGGCTCCCCCATTCCCCCCTCTCCCTGTTTTATGTTAATGAAGTAGATTTGCTCCGACTTTTGTGCTGTAGTTCTTGCTACTGTATTAGTGATAATTAGTTGTACAAACTTTTCTACTGTTAGTTTCCCCAGTGAGTGAAGGTTTTCTCTTTCCTCCCATCCATACGTTTTCAAATTATCACACGAGTTACTGTTCAGAGTCACCATGTATTTTCAGAGCAAGCTGAGCCGAATTTGACTTGCAAAGTTCCAACTCCCTTTTTTTGACATGAACGTGCAAATTTTATGTCCTTGGTGGAATGAAGTATAGCATGTGAATAGGTTCTTCTTCTCAGTGTAGTCATTTATTTTTAGCAAACACTGATTTACTGTTCATATTTACCTGCTTGCTGTGTTTTACTCGTGGAAAAGCACGACCCTAACAAGCAATGTGATCTCTGTTTTGAAACTTCACAACTTATTTTTTAATTTTCAAAAAACCTGTTTGCCTGTGGGAAATTTGTAAATTCTCTTAAACAGGTTGAACCAACCGATTCACTGGGTTTCAGTAATATTCGCCTGCAAACTGTCCTGTTCAAGCATGTCTAGGATGGGACTAATATCCACTGGTCCAATTACACTGACTCCAGTCGGACCGCCCAGTCCGATTTGTGTTTTAACAACTATGCTATTTGCACGCGCAGCATTAATCTTTCTCCTCGTCCTTACATTGTCAGCGATATGAACAGCCTTCCTAACTGCAATCCCATAAACAAATCAACCTTGTTGTGGGCTTTGTTACCACACAATCATTTCCAAGGAAATGAAGCCTTATCCAGTGAAAAGAGAAAAAAGCCTACAGAGGGCTTATGATTTCAGCAATAAACAATTGATAGTTGCATGGAAATGGAGTGACTGCAACACGTGGGATCATTTTGACAACCACTAAGAAATAATGTATGAATTAGTTAGGATTGGCTCTCTACCTTTTGTGCAAAATAGAATAAAGGTGAATAAGGTCTACTCCAGGGATGGTTCAGCTGTGAGTATCCAAGATCCAAGATGGATTTCTCCTTCAGTTATTGCATACCTGTTTATATCTGTCTGCTGTGGAAATAGATATTTGCTAGATATCAAGTATTAACTTCGTCAAGTTGTTGCATTGCATTTCTGCTGTGATCGGTTCACTAATTTCCTATTATTTTATGTCTGCCTTATTTCCGTTCAGAGGAATACTCTAGTCTATCAATTGTCCTAATTAGCTTGAGAAATGTCACACTCCATATTCTTGTTAGAGTTGATAATTAAAGATTTAGTTCTCTTCTTTTACCATCCTGCCATTCCTTGTGTTTATACATCTTTATGGTATTTTTTTTACCTTAAGTAATGACTGAAGTTTGTCAAAAATGACATTGCAGATGTGGACACGAGTTTTGCTACACGTGCGGAGCTGAATGGAGAAACAAGAGGGCCACCTGCCGGTGTCCTATCTGGGACGAACGCAACATTGTGTACGATCGTTGAAATGGAAACAGTAGGAGAAATTCCATTTCAATATAAAGCATATCGCCATTAGTCTTATTATAGTAACTAGTGGAGTAAGTAGCAATGGTTTAAACAAGTTTAAAGAGAGAGAGAGAGAGAGAGAGTTCACAAGTAAAACTGGTGAGTTCTTCGACTTGGGAAAAGCTAAAATCTTACATGCAAGTCTCTCTTGGGTATATTTAAGTACTGTTCAGGCTTATCCTATAATTGTTGGATGTATGAAGGGTATGTTGGCTTTTGCGGTACTTGACGAGTGACAAGTTCTAGAACGAATGAAATGTTAATCGGTTTCTAAATTTCAGCATGTTTACTAAGAAAAAAAATATAATGTAAATTTAAATTTATCTTTAAAGTGAACTATGGAATGAAGGATGTTTATGTTTGGAATATTGATAAACTTGGGACATAAAGGATCACTTTAAAACCTTATTTGCTTATGATGTTCAATTTTGTCAAAAATGGAGCCGAAGATCTGTTGGTCCCTCCATCAATGAGTGACATCTGAAGGCAATTTCACGTGTTTTTTTTTTCTTTTCCGATGAATGTCATCTGGAGATGTTTAAGACTGTTTATGGAAGTCCTCAAGGTCCTCTTCCCACAAAAAGTGGACTGAACTCCCATTGAAGAAGTTGAAGAGAATTCAGACAATGTAATTTTCGGTGATACAAAAACAGAGGAATGGAATGTTTCTCGTTTAACCACAGATTCATTTTGATAAATAGCACAAGAAATTTGAAATTTTGTCCTTAATTTCGTGGACAAGAAAGGAGCAGAATTACCAAGGTTATAGAAGATAATTTGTGTGATACAAAGAATCTGTTGACTCCTAAAAATGTAGCTCCTAACTGGCCAACAAATCACGAGGCATCTCACATCCACGCAAGTCTAATTCCGGTACACTTGGACAAATCGTTAGGCACATGTGGCCTTCTTCGGTGGAAGAGTTGGCTAAGCGCACTTTAACGATCAAGTCAGTTGGGAAAATGAATGTACAAGCATGGGGGGGCTTTATACGCGAGCCTCCAATCTAAAAGGGGGTTGACTTTGGGGAGTGATAGATAAAATAGTGATACGACAGAGTTATAAGTTGAGAGTTTAAACTTGTAGTACCTTGAAATGGCACTGAGTGTGAGTTTTATCGTAGAGGAAGAAGAATGCGAGTCTTTGGATGAAGAGGCACGTGACCTCATTCGTGCAGCTGATGCCTCTTGTAGCAGACATCAGTCAATCGTAAGCATTAAATGTCAATACCATTTTATCATCTATATTGCTTCATTTGCAATTTTAGACTTGACCTAATGGGCTAAAAATGACGGTAGTAGCGAATTGTCACGTCAATTACATATCGTAAATTGTGTTTGAAGATCTTGTGCTGAGTTCTTTTTATGGCTTCGCCTCCCCCGTAGCTTGGTTCTTTCTCACGAGGTGAGCATACTAGTGGAATCGGTAAATACATTGGTTCGGTCACCCACAGGGGTTCAATCAGAACAGTCGCGTGACGCTTTGACGTGATGTGGGGGCCTCATGCTGGCACTGTAGGACATTTGGGGGCCTTAATGGGTGAGGCGTAAGAGAATCTTTATAGGAGTTTTGTTAGGGAATTGTTGTACATTGCAATTCGCCGGTTAAACTAATTTGGAACCAGTTCACACGCAAGATATCTAGAGAAGTTAAAAATCTTATGTATTAATTATGTGAGGAGAAATTCAATCTCACCAAACGTGGTGCTAACAAAAAATGAGCCAATTAAAGAAAATATGAATTAAACGTGGTTAGGCTTAAAAAAAAAAAAAAAAAAAAAAAAGTTCACTCATGGGATGATCGAGTTGGTGGAGTAGGTGAGCGCGAAAATATATGGAAGCCTATCGCTCATGGCTTACTTAGTGCGGTTTACTTGGTTGGCGTGATTTTCAGGTTATTGCGTCATTTCGAGGGTTTATCCAGTGCGCACCCGAATAGTAGTTACTGCGGGTTCCTCTGTTAAAAAGAAAAAAATTATAAAAAAAGGCTTTATTACTCAGGAAAAACGAACTGAACGTGGTTCGACAAATTGTCAACACCTTTTCTTTTCTTTTTCTTTGCATCCCTATACATCTTCTACGTGTGTTCTCTTCGACTCTTCCTGCTTTGGATCACAATTAAATTACCCAAGTCCCCCCTTTTCACTGTAATTACCACGGGGCTTAGTTATTTATTTCCCTTCGAGCAAACTAACCGTGTATTTTCTTCAAATACAAATTTGTTCCTAAATCAATTCACTGCCAGGCAATGCATCTAGAGCCCAATTCCAACTTACACACATACACATACATGTATTTGTCATCTCCCCCATCTCTCTCACCCCCCCCCCCCCCCCCCCCCCCCCCCCCAAAATTTAGCCATTGTTTGATCCTTTATTCTTTTCAAACTACATTTTTTTTTCTTTCTTATTTTTAATCACACATTCTTCTATAAAATAATATTACACACAAACCCAGAACTTCTTATTTTATTTTTATTTTTTAACCATACATTTTTCATCAATTTATTATTCCAAAATACATTATTAAAAAATAATGGGGCTCAAACAGTAAGTCTTCATCCTAACCAAAATACATATTCTTCTCCGCCAACAAAAGTCCTTTTTCTAGATATTCTGACCGGAAGAAGAAGAAGCGGGACTGGGATGGTTCCCGATTTTGATGCTTTTTTTAATAACTAGCGATATACATAAAATTCAAATATAATCCTATTTCATTAAATCCCCTTATCTCGACAAGCATCCAGGATGTGTTGCTAGTATTTTTTTTTTAATTTCTGATAAACTATGGCACGTCTACAACAGTCAAGGAGAGCAAACCCATTTTGAAAATTTCAAAATATATTTTTAGGAACATTATAAAACATTTGGTAGAAATGTCTTAAATAATGTGAAAAGATTTCAGAGAAGGTCATGCCCAATTTGTTCTATAACACTATTGTACGCATTGTTAAAATACTCGACTTCAATTAGTCTCTGTAAATAGGCTATAGAAAACTGCGTGAAGTATTTCCTGATTCCTTGTTGATTTGTTCCCCGATTCTATGTTAATTTGTCTCCTATAATATTAGGACACACTTGTTTGGTTTTCTAGTAACTCTTGCATTTTTCTTGTGACGGCTACATGGAATAGGATGCGTATATTAGCCATGTTTGATCCTATTAATTCTCGTTAAATTATAATTTTATTTTTTTCTCTTATTATCGATCATAAATTTTTTAATAAAATAATATTACAAATAAACTCAATTTTTTTTTTTTATCCTTTTTGTCAAACAAGCACTTCCCAAAATAAATACAAATCCGTCAAAAGTTATATCTTGAACCCTAATAACAATAACGGAATTTGAAAATGTATCTCAATGATCACTAAACTTTAGTAAGTGTTACTATTTCATAACTGAATTAAAAAATGTATCTAATGGTCACTAAACAATACACCGTATTAGTTATGAAATAGTAATACTTAATAAAGTTCAGTGACTATTGAGATACATTTTTAAGTTAGTTATTAAGTATTAACAATTTATTTTTTCTCAAATCAACCTTTTGTGAAAGACGAAACTAAAGAAAATGAAGTAAAAAAAGTTGAAAAATCAAATTGACCTCAATTATATTGGCACTAATTCGAATATTTTTGTATTTTTTTAATTTTTTCTTTGTAATTTTCTTTCAGTGTTTCTATTTTTTATCTTTCAATCATTTTATGCGAAGTTTGAGATACATTTAACTGATATTAGTCGATCTAAAAATCAAATGTACTTTTCATCGCGATGGAGACTATATATTGAATAAAAAATAACACGTTTTTTCCTTCATTTTCTTTAATTTTTCTTTCATATAGGTCAATTTGAGGAAAAAGAAATTGTTATCATTTAATAATCGAACTTAAAAATGTATTTCAATGGTCAATTGTTAAATAATATATGACAAAGTACAATAACATAATTAACCCTATCAATAACCAAAATTGTTATATGTTCCTGAAAAGAGTTGGGAACTTTATAGTCTAGATGCTCGTTCGGTAGATATTTGGTTAATTGATTTTTTGATTGTTAGAAATAAAGTGGGTTCTATCTGTGAAAAAAAATTCAAAAATGATAACTGAAATAGTGAAATATCGATAAAAAAATTGATGTTAGTTGGCTTAAAATCCCCACCAAACATGCGATTGGGATTAATTGTTCAATAAATCATTGAACGTATGTTCACTAGATCATTGAACGTATGTTCACGTCTTTAATTGATTATTGAAATTTAAAATATCGAGTTTTTGTCACTAAATTTAGGTTTATGTCTTCGATTGTTTATTGAAATTTAAAAATGTCAAGTTTTGATTACTGAACTTTAAAAAATATTGTATGTTATTCATCAGTATAAATGTTCAACTTTAAAAAATGTCAAATTTACGTAATGTACAATATTTTGTAAAAGTCAATCATCAAAACTTGACATTATAAATTCGAGTGAGCAATTAAAAACATAAATATAAATTCAGCGACTAAAATTCGACATTTTAAATTTGAATACCAATCAAATCAATGACACAGACCTAGTTTCAATTAGCGTTGGAACAATTAACTCCACATTGGGCTAATCTCAGAGAACCAGCCAGGGTTAATGGTTGAAATACACTTCGCCGGCAACCAGGGGCGGACCCACATGGGGTCATGTGGGGTCAAATGATCCCACAATTTTCTGGAATTTTTTCCTGCTGAAAACGATTATATCTATTTGGGGGTTCAAATTAATTCATAGCCCAATGCCTAGAATCTATGTCCATATGGTTCAATCCATATCCATAGACCATAGTCCACTCTCTGCTCCATTATCCACCGATTTCTTCCCAAATACAAAGTGAAACTGTGCAAACACTCAAATTCTAAATCTATATCCATATCACATGGTCTATATCCATTATTTAGTCCATAAATATATCATATAATTCAACAATTTCTTCCCAAAGTGCACATATCGAACATGAACAGCAAACAATCGATTTTTCTTTTTTTTTTCATGATACGTTGTTCGGAAAAAAAAAAAATTTTGACCCAACAGTTTAAATGGTCTGGGTCCGCCCCTGCCGGCGACGCAACATCCTTGTATTCTTCCATCTGAACTGGGACACCACGTTCTCTTTTGCATCCTACGCTCGCGGCCTCTTCACTGGCAGTTCAGTCAGATGGGTCTCCCCTGCCATCTTCTCCTATGATATTTATAAATATTGATGGACCTTTTTGAATTATTGTTGTCATTCGCAGTGACCATACAATCAAATCCTACTCAATTTTGTATGTGAAGAGAATCTGCTTATGAAAGACGCGCCGGTGTCGTGCTGCTTTTGGAGTGAACTGGGATACGGAATTGCTTTTGCTGCTGATTGGCGGTTTTTCCTCTGATTTCCACAACGCCCTCACTGGTTTACCGACTGCTTCCGTTTTTTGGTCGAACCGTCCGGTCCGGTTTCAAAAACATTGTTTAATTTGGAAATCTTACGGTCATCTACAGAGTTGAGAAATTTGCGGGCATTTTAACGCTGATTAATTCAGTCAAGTCAATTCAAGCTCAGGCGGTGGGTGTTTGCAAATTTACACACGAACCCCTGAGTTTTCTATATATAATAGACTGCTCATCTGCATTTCAATTCCAGTGGATGTCGGTTTCGCAAAGACTCTTCTTCATCTCTGCTCGTAATTTTTGCTGTCGTTCTCCAGCTCTCTTTCCTGCTGGGAACTCCCTTTATCTTCTCCATTTTTCAAGTTCATCGTTTTTTGTATCAACCATGCCTCGTAAACAGGTACCTCTATTTGTGTGTACTTATTGTGACATTACGAATTTATAGGTATATGTGCATGGGAATAAATGTAGATATGATGTAGGTTGTGTTTTAATTACTGAGTAAATGGGTTTAGTTCAACAGGATCTTTTAGTTCTAGATCAGGAAATTGTTTGGTTAGAGTTTTTTGCGAATTGTTTTCAAACACCCATTTTCAAATTTATAAGAAATATTTCAAATTATAAATAGTCTTTTTGAATGCATTTAGTACTCTAACGACCTGATTATCTTTTGCATTGGATATATGCCTGCTTAGAGTTTCGTCTGTCAATCCACTTAATTTGTATATAGATAACATTTTATTTAGTGAGATTAGAAAAGTTTTGACCTGAAATTCTAATAAAACGAGTTGCTTTCTAGATGATCCTTCAAGAAGAAGGTGATTCTAACAATCTTTCTAGTTACTGTCTTTCTTTCGGTGTGGGACGATACCGGGGATAGAAGGAAATGCGTCGAGGTGGCGAACAGAGTTCCCTTTTTGGCAGCCGATTATCTCTAATAAAATGTCTTATTGAGCTCCATGTTGAACGTTGAATTTCTATTTCACCTTCACCTAATGTATTGTTTCTAGAACTTTGGACATTTTTTAAGAGTATAATGTAGACTATGACGTAGTTAGAACTAATGGGCAAGATTTATTATTTGTGTTTCAAGAGGAAACCGTTTTGAAGTTGTCTTCAATCTTCATGCTATGAAGCCTGTCTAAAGCCATATTGTGTTTGCTTCTTATCTTGGTTGCTGAAAGATTAGCATTTCTTCAAAAATTGCAGACATTATACACATCAAATTGCTAATTTCCTGAAGTTTTTATTTATTTCTACTACATTTTTCAGCAACTAAAAAGTCCTACAAATAAAATATGGATCATGAAAAAACATTGTAATAGTGTAATCTAAAACAGTAAAGTAAAAAAGTTACACAGCATGGAAGAACAAGAAAACCTTTTTTTGATTCTACTTGTGAACTAATTCAAGAAGTGTGACATTTAAAAAAAACAAAAAAAGAAAAAAAAGAGAGAGAATAATGTATGAGTGTGCGTTTGGTTTGCGTTTTTGTTTTCAGGGATTATTTTAAGGTTATGGAAAAAGTTTTTGGTTTGTCATTCTGAAAAACCGTTTCTCAAAACGAAAAATTAGAAAACATGTTTGGTTTAAAAACTTTAGAAATAATTTTATGACATTTTGGAGGAGCATGGGAAGGGAGAGGTAGAGGGAGAGGGAGAGGGGTGATTATATATGGGTAAGTTTTGTGTGATTTTATTAATATTTTAATTTGGGAAATTTTTAAGCTCATTTCCTTCTTTTGAGTTTTTTGAGTGCGTTCAATGAAAGTCATTTTGAATTTTGAGTTTTGTGTTACAAATTTTCCTTGTTTTCAAAACTGCATTTTTGAAAATAATATACCAAACACGTTTTGAGTGTGTTTTAAAACTGAAAACTAAAAATGACCTCAAAATGACAAATCAAACGCACTCTAAGAAACCCAGATCATGAAAACCCCAATGCTGCTACAGGGACAGGGTGAATTATAGGATTTTATATGCACATACACTGGGCATCTTCTCATTGGCAGTTAAAAAAAAAAGTTAAAAGATAATACTGCCAAACAAAAACTGCCACTTCGTTCCCTGGAAAATGCCTGTCATTGATCCTGTTTGTTCAGCATTTTCCTGAAAACCCATGATCCCACCACTACAATAAACACTGATTTTGGGATTCTATCAATGAGCAGCTTTACATACTAGAATCATGAACCTAAAATCCTTGCTCCAAAGTGAGCAGAGAATGGAAAGGTTGTTTCGGTTCAGAGGTTTTTGTATCCAATCTTTCTCCTTAAGTGTTTCATCAAGCGCATCAGATTCACGCCCAGATTACTGTAAGTAAAATCCACAAAGAGGGCATTTTGGGTACAAGAATTTTGGGTATGTACATGCTGTTTAACAGATGACTTCATCAATAAGAAACACATGAATTAGGAGAAATTGTAGATGGAAAAAGAATAAGAACGATTTTTAACCATTGTGAAGAGAAATCGCTGTTTGAATGGAGGTTTTTTTTCCCAAGCTGTCAATTTTTAACATTGTTAGTAGCCATATAGATTTCCATCCGCCACGTGGATTTTTTGGTCCAGGTTGATGGATGGATGGAAATGATATGGGTGATGGATGTGTAACTTTGTTTAATGTGATTGAGCAACGAGTGTTCTTTTAATTATGGGTGGGCAAGTAGTAATCGGTGGTGATTATTTGTATTTAATTTAACTCCATGTTTATTTGATGTTCTTCTGTTTTGATTGTTGTCCAGTTATGCTCCATCTATTTGGTTTCCAAGAAAGAATGGTAATTTGAATATAATAAAAAATTGGAAAACTTAATGCAGGGCACGACAAATTGTTTTCCTGTCTTGTTGACTTTCTATGTATATTATATCCAAACTGAGGGCGATGTTTTTGAGAATATGCAAAATTTTGGTTATGTTCTGTGGTGTTGTCCATTCTTGTTCTTGCATACCTGAGTAACTGATTGAATTAATTTTAATATGTGCAGCGAAAAGGTGCTTCTAAAGAACACGTGTGGATAGAGAAGCCTAATTCCGATAGGCCATCTATCTCGTCCTCATTGACCGAAGGTATCTCAAATGAAAATGCTGAAGTTATCGCCAATAAACTTAACATGTTAAGGGTTGCGGAAAGCAGTGGCCAATCTGCTGTTGCAGTACCGGCTCTACAGCTTGGGAGTAGTGGGTTGATGAACCATGCTCCTGTTCAGGGCCAGAAAGCAATATGGAAGCCCAAGGCATATGGAACTGCAAGTGGAGCCACTACAGTAAAAGTTGATGAAGCTCCAGATGGTCAAACTACAGTGCTGGATAATGGAACTCAGACAGCATCAAGTGGGAAACATGATGCTGTTCTGAGCAAGTTGTTCAAGGGAAATTTATTGGAAAATTTTACTGTGGATAGCACCACATATTCACTTGCACAAATTAGAGCCACATTTTATCCAAAATTTGAAAACGAGAAGTCTGATCAAGAGGTAAGCTCTCCTATATATGTCCTTTGTCCGGATAAAACAATGTTCAAATTACTGTAGTTAACTAACGAGCTGAACTTTGAACTATCAACCATATTTTCATCAAGCATGTGTCACTGCATGAAGTTTCACAGTTCCTAGTGAATTCGAATGGGCTGTAGCTTTGTGGTCATTGTTAAAGAAAACTTGGACATGCTTATTTAGCCCCAGTTTAGCCCCTTTTTTTGAGAATAGATTTTGTAAAAAGTGATTTTTTTGAGAATGTGTCATTAAAAAGTAGAAAAAAGTAATGGGTTACATGCAAAATTATTTTAGGAGATTTTGTGGTAGAAAATGTGTTTGGAGAAAAATGAAATCGAGAGAATGGAGCTCAAATAGTGGCTTAATTTTTCGCCAGTTTAAGATTGAGATGCTATCATATTGTTATGGTAAGCACTTTCGAATATTACGTCTAAACATGCCTAACTATTGTATTTATGCCATTCTTACAGATAAGAACACGAATGATAGAAATGGTTTCCAGGGGCTTAGCTACATTGGAGGTTGGAACGACTACTTTTCATTCCATGCTCCTCCCTTCTTTCATAATGTTATTTAGTTAATTTTTATTTGGTCCTCTCTTTATCTCTCTCTCTCTCTCTCTCTCGGATTAGCTGTTCATTAACTTTAGCCTACTCAATTCTCTCGATCAATTTAATATTCTAGTGAAATCTACACTTCAACAGGTCTCACTTAAGCATTCTGGATCCCTTTTCATGTATGCTGGACATGAGGGTGGAGCATATGCCAAGAACAGCTATGGGAACATGTGAGCTCATTGTTGATGGTCCTTGTTTCCTCTTTTTTTTGCCTTCTTTCTTGTTACCCCCTCCCTTGTGTCTGTTTTCCAGGCATTGTGTTGTACTGCTCCTTTTAGTTTTGTGTTTTTATGAGCTTTCTAAATTTCATGCATGTACTATAGTTATACTGCTGTTGGCGTCTTTGTACTTGGACGTATGTTTCGTGAGGCATGGGGTTCACAAGCCAGCAAGAAGCAATCTGAGTTCAACGAGTTCCTTGAGGTAAGCTTTTGGTGAGGCATTCATGGATAAAATGCTGCACATGGAGAAGCTCTCCTGTAGAGCCAGAGATATTCTTTCTCCTCCAAGATCATCCCAGTGCTTGAGATGTGAGAGAAAATTAGCAGAAAACAATGAAACTGCTGGAACCAAATCTAAAATATCCAGGCAATTGCATAAATGAAGTTATTAAAGCATTGAACGTGTAATTAGATGAAAGCTTTCATGGATATACTACTCCGCCATGCCATTCTAACATATTTTTAACTTTTACTACATTGACCATCATTAACTAGCTCCGCAAGGTGCGCATCAACATGATAACACTAGAATTAAAGAAGCTGTGGAGATCTTTTGTTTGTTTCATCCTGGAGTTAATGAAGATACTTTCTTGAGTACTATCCATCAATTTTGTCTTGGCAGGCCAAATTGTATATGTTATAACTTTGCACAAATTAACAATATGTCAGCATGTGCAGAAGTTTGTATAGATGTGCACTTTTATCACTTCATGCTCTGCGTGTTGAGTTGTTTCTTCAACTGATCTAAAATGAACATTACCCTCTTGACCCTTTCAGCAAAACCGCATGTGCATATCAATGGAGCTGGTTACTGCTGTATTAGGAGACCACGGGCAACGTCCTCAAGACGATTATGGTGAGGAAACAAGAAAAAAGTCTTCACCCCTCCCCAGCCCCAAAAGGGGGAAAAAATCATTATTGAATGCGAGCCCTATTCCCAACTTTGGGTTGACTTCATACTCTTTTTTTGCCATTCCTTTCGAGTTGTTTCTAGATCTATTTGGATATATAAATAAAGTAGATCCTTATGTAGGTATCAAGTCATAGGAAAAGTTCAAATCATATGATTATACTGTTTAAATGAGTTTATTTGTGTTTATTGTCTTTTGAGCTTGTGAAAAATTTACGTTCCTTTAGGAGATGACTTCGTTGACCAGCACAAACATATTGTGTTTCCTGATCTAATTAATTCTAAAATATTTATGCACATAATTTTACGTCAGTATTGCTGATACTTCATCCAATTTTTTTTGAGCAGTGGTTGTGACTGCCGTCACAGAATTGGGTTCTGGAAAACCGAAGTTCTATTCGACACCCAATGTTATCGCTTTCTGTAGGAAATGGCGGCTGCCAACGAACCACGTGTGGCTATTCTCTACAAGGTGATTGCTTATAGTCTATATAGTTTGAGCCATGGATTAATTGACAATGAAATTTGTTGCTTTTTTTTATTTTTATTTTTTTTATAGGTAATCATAATTTTATTAATTAAAAGAGATTACACGGGATGTGTACAATCACTTTAAGCAAGAGAGGAACGACATGAAATTAGGCAACCCTTCTACAGGATTTTTAGTCGCGGCATTAAACCAATTATATAAAGTCAAATAAAACATTTCCCTAATCTGTGCTATTATCTTTGTTTGATCTTTGAAACAACGTTTGTTCCTTTCTCTCCAAACACACCATGTAATGCATCCCGAGATAAGATTCCATACAAGTTTGTTATCTTTATCACGAAATTTTCGCCTCCATGCTTGCAATACGTCCTCTATACGCCTTGGTAGCACCCAAAGCATAGATTGAGAAGCCAGGATATTCTTCCAAAGCCAGCAAATACCATCACAATGAATAAACAAGTGGTCTACCGTCTCCCCATCCCTTTTGCACATGTAGCACCACTCGGTTATATAAAAGCCTTTTCGTTGAAGATTATTCACCTTTGACACCTGTCCCCTTACAACCGTCCACAATAAAAATGTTACCTGTGGAGGCAATTTGCTTTGCCACACCAGCTTCCAGAGGAATGAATTCTCCGAAGGTCCTAGGAGGGATCTAAAATAAGCGAGGACAGAAAAGACATCATCTCGTGCCAACTTCCACCTGCTACAATCATTCTCTCCTACCCGAATTTGTATGTTATGTAGAGATGTCAAAAACAATGAATAATCATCCAACTCCCAATCCTGTAGGCCCCTCTCAAAAGTAATATTCCAGTTGTAATTCCCATTATGAATGACTAATACATCACTCACCATAGCAGATGGTACGAAAGAAATGCGTTGCAAAGAAGGAAATCCTAACTTCAGCGGTTGATCACCGCACCAACAATCATCCCAAAATCTAATATCATTACCATTCCCCACCACAAAATTCAATTTGTCTTGAAAATCACTCCATCCACGTCGAATATACCTTCACAAACACACCCCATAGGAACCGCGACTCTCAACAGTACATCAACCTCCCTCCATCACACCATACTTCTCCTCGATGATTTCTCTCCAAAAGTTCTCTCTCTTTATTCCAAATCGTCACAACCACTGACCCAATAAGGCCTTATTAAACAAAACAAGACTTCTAACTCCAAGGCCCTCCATCCTCATAGGCGAACAAACAATACCCCAATTAACCAAATGAAGTTTTCTCTCCTCCCCCATTCCTGCCCAGAGAAATTCCTTTTGAAGTCTCTCTAATCTATTTGCCACTGCAGCCGGAATAGGGAATAGCAACAAAAAGTAAGTAGGGAGATTAGAGAAAGTGGATTTAATGAGTGTAAATCGACCTCCCTTAAAGAGGTACATACGCTTCCACCTTTCTAACCTCCTCTCCACCCTTTTCACAATATAATTCGAAATATGCCTACTTTTAAACCGTGCTCCTAACGGAAGTCCTAGATATGACATAGATAACTGCGCAACCTAACAATCCAAAATGTCAGCTAGCACCTCTATGTTAGCTACCTCTCCTACTGGAATAGCCTCAGATTTCCCCAGATTGATTTCCAATTCGAACACCGCTTCAAAGCATAATAACAAACGACACAAGTTCCTGAATTGTTCATATTCTGCCTCGCATAAAATCAACGTATTGTCTGCAAATAACAACTGGGACACCTGCAAGTGACCAATCATAAATCCCTTTATCAAATCCTCTCCCACAGCTCTTTCAAGCATTCTACTGAAAGCCTTCATTACAATAACAAATAGCAATGGTGACAATGGTCCCCTTGTCTCAATCATCTACTACTCCGAAAATAACCCTCAGGTGTTCCATTGACCAAAACTGAAAACGGAACAGTAGAAATACAAAACTAGATCCACTCACACCATTTATCTCCAAAGACACATCGCCTAAGCATATACAAAAGGAACCGCCGGTTGACATGATCATAAGCCTTCTGAATATCGAGCTTACATAGCATTCCCAGAACCCCTGAGCGCAATCTTGAGTCAATGCATTCATTCGCTATAAGCACTGAGTCCAAAATTTGGCGACCTTTTACAAAAGCATTCTGAAACTTGGATACTACTTTCCCTAGCACCTCCTTCAATGTGTTCGCTTGAACTTTTGCAATAATCTTATACATTCCACTGACTAAGCTAATAGGGCGGAAGTCCTTAATATCAGTCGCTCCCACTTTCTTAGGGATCAGCACAATAAATGTAGCGTTAAAGCTTTTCAAGAACTTCCAACCTTAAAAAAAATAGGTAAGGACATCCATGTCTGCTCGCACTACTTCCCAACATGCCTTGTAGAATGAGAACCAAAAATCGTCTGGTCCAGGGGCCTTATCATCATTCATGCTAAACACTACCTCCTTGATTTTATCCTCCCCAAAAGGTCTCTCTAACCAAACGGCATCCTCCTTCGTGATAGTAAAAAAATCCAATCCCTCCAGCTTCGACCTCCATTTAAACTTCTCCAGATAGAGATTCTGTCTATCACTAGCTGGCTTCCAATTTCGTGCAGTTCCTCATAAGTAATCCCATCCACCTCTAACACTGTGATAGAATTGTTGCGCCTATTAGAAGTAGCAACCCTGTGAAAAAACTTAGTGCATTTATCCCCCTCTTTCAACCAGGTGACCCTGGATTTCTGGCGCCAAGCAATCTCCTCCATCTCTACCAACCTCTCCAGCTCTTCCCTTAGCACTCTACGTCTTTCCTTCTCCTCCCCGGCCAACCTTCGACTCTCCTCCCGCCTAGCCAATTCTTCTATATTGGAAAGACACTGAATTTTACGATGGACTTCCTCACTATTGGTCTGTAACTCATGCGATGGACTTCCTCACTATTTTATTTGCAAATTCAGCGCGGTTATGCTAAGAGTTCTGACTATGATTCAATGATTATGTTTTTTTTGTTAAAAATTGTCTTTCTTGGTTCTGATTGTGTGCCCAATTCTTTTCCTTCCATTTCATGGAAAAGAGTTGATACCTAAATTGTCCTTAATGTTTTTAGTCATTTTGAGTTGTGAAGGCACGAGCTATTTGGAAAAACCTAGTAATGACATAGTTTCTTAGGTTTAATTTGGAAACTTGGTGGATTCCATAGAATACTTCGAAGTATTCTTCAGTCAGAGTGCATAAGCGAGTCTTACTGCAAATGCAATTTCTGGTCGAGTATGTGAAAAGTGAATATTTTACCTATGAGTTGCTAATAGCAATTTTTGTTTACCTTTGAACTTGACTTCCATTATCACTATTGATGATTGTGATTGCTGGGGATATTAATTGGTTTGCTTAAATAATACTCCCCCCTTGCATGTATATTATATTTGCAAGATGGATACTACCATGTGAACTAGCAATTTACATGCCAGGAAATATCTCAATTGAGCTGGATCTCTGATTCCTTGGCAATAATTCCTTGAATTTCTTCAATTCCTCAAATTGCTGGCTACAGTTCCTTAAGTTTGGTTCTTAAACTTTTACCTATATCCATGTTGTTTCTTATAGGTACACTGACTTTTTTTGGTTGATCTGCTGTCACTTGAAACCCCCACCATTATTTGAAGACATAATTTCTTTGCCTCAGTTCTGTAATTATGGGAATTTGATTGAGTGAGAAGGTTCTTATGTCGAGCTTCCATAAGTCTCTTTTAACCCCCAGATGGAGCAGGGTTTAGAGTGCACTAGAATCTTGTACCATTTTAAATTTGGTTTTCCATTGCTCATTTTTTCGTTATCAAGAATTGCATTATAGTAGATGTTTATACAATGTAAACTATACAAATTGATAGCTAATCATCCTGTAGATGTGGGTATCAAATCCCAGAACTAAAAGCGGAGCACAAGTTTATTTTGTTCAAATAAGGAATAGGAGTACCACGGGTTGCTTCAAATAGTGCTTCTCTAATATGGCTGGTGCAGTTTGAAGGTGAGAATTTTGATGTAACTTCTTCTGATGCATTTTCGTATTATTTCACAATTTCAGGAAGTCCGTGACATCATTTTTTGTGGCTTATGATGCCCTCTGTGAAGAAGGAACTGCTACTCCTGTGTGCAAAGCTCTCGATGAAGTTGCAGATATATCTGTACCAGGTAGGATTTATTTGTTGCCTATAGTCATTTTTATGTTATCTATAATAGTGTATAGATATCCATGGTGGTTCCTTTTATTGCTTTTTCCGAATGGGGCTAGCACTGTGATGGCAACATGTTCTGTTTGACATACTCTCTCAATTTCCATTCATTGCCAAATCATAATAGGTCCTATAAGTGTCGACCACTTGCATTTTGTAAAAAATTTTCATCTACTTCATTTCAATTATCTGCAGGATCAAAAGATCATATAAGGGTGCAGGGTGAAATCTTGGAGGGTCTAGTGGCTCGCATAGTAAGCCATGAGAGCTCAAAACATATTGAACAAATTTTGAGAGACTTCCCTCCACCGCAATTAGAGGGAGGTAAGTTTCAAATAAGGATCTGGTCAAGTTTTTTAATGGCATTGGTTGTAGGATCAGCAGTGAAGCCAGAATCTGCCACTGCATATATTTTCTTTCCTTTTGCAGATTACTTCCTGAAATGATCTCCAGCGGTATACGTTGGAATCTTTGAATTGTTTCATTATCCACTTTGTTCAAATCATACAGAAATTATGAAAACTGAACAGAGAGTGTTGTGCTGATTAGAATTTTTCTCACACTAAGACAAAATTCTTCATATTGTGTAATTGTTACAGTAACTGCAATTGTTTCTGTTGTGCTACATTATTATAGTAGGCAGATAGACCAATGGCTTTATCATGATTAGTGTTAAGTTCGATGCCATGGTAAGCAGGAATTGCAATAATTGCATGTGTTAATGTATACCAATTTACTAATCTTCCCGTTCTTATGATTTTTGTCTCCAAACACGACAAATTAGAGGCCAGAGTGCTTCCAATTTCCATACTGATGATATTGACTATATTTGGTATCTCCCACCCTTTCCTCCTTCCTTTACCCTTGCTTTTCCCACCTCTGTGGCTCATGGTATTTTAATTACTATTGCTTTGTATTTTAATTTTGCCTTCGTTTTATTACTCATAAAAACCAATTGCTTATCAGCTGACCAGGATTTGGGACCTAGCCTGAGGGAGATATGCACAGCAAATAGAACTGATGAGAAACAGGTGACGCAATGTCTAATATTATTGTGATATCAATGTTCATCACTTACTCAGAAATTGAACTTTGAATAACGTACATCTTTATTTTGTTGGATCATAATTTGCAGCAAATAAAGGCACTTCTTGAGTGCGTTGGGACATCTCTCTGCCCAAATTATATGGATTGGTTTGGGAATGAAGCCTCTGATTCTCATTCAAGAAATGCAGATCGATCTGTAGTATCAAAATTTTTGCAAGCGCGTCCAGCAGATTATTCCACCACCAAACTGCAGGTCAGGCTTTTCACTTACTCAACATATTGTTGACGTGGTAACTAGGTGGAAATTATTAAGATAAAATCGGGGATAAAGATATATGCATCTGATTGCGTATTCATTTGACAGACGTTCTAAATAATTGATCTTTTGAGTTTGGTTTATTCTATGTGATTGGAGAATGAAAGCAACTTTCTTTTGGCCAGTTGATGCTTTTTGACAGTTTTTTTGGTTTGTGTTATTCTCTTTTTTCCTTTGCATCAAGTTCTAAAGAATCCCATTATCTTCTAATGCAATGCATATCTTTCAGTTCTTTTGTGGTAATAGTAAATGCGAATGATAAACATACTGTTTAACATTTTACATCAGGAAATGGTTCGTTTGATGAGGGAAAAGCGATTTCCTGCTGCTTTTAAGTGTTATCACAACTTTCAGAAGATACACTGTGTTTCAAGTGATAATCTTCATTTCAAGATGGTAATTCATGTACACAGTGACTCAGCCTTTCGCCGGTACCAGAAAGAGATGAGGTCTGCTTTTAAATTCTTTATCTTTCTTTTTTGTGTTTCCATTCGTTAATGAAAAACAAGTTTTGAGCATTTCTTCACTATAAAGCTTTTCTTGCCTATGTGTTCTTTATTCAAGAATGAATTGGCATGTCCCAGGTTCAAGCCAGAATTGTGGCCTCTATATCGAGGTATGTCATATTACTTCAATAGAAATCCATCTGATGCAGGACGAATTAAAAATAGAAAGAAGAAGCAAGAAAGAGGGGAGAACCGGAGAGAATGGGGGGAGAAACAGGAGAAGAAGTAGAAATTCATGGGGAAGAGGGGGAGGGAGAGGAAAGAGAAGCCATAGGCAACAAACCACTAAAATATTCTTCAATTCATCAAAACTAATGAAATTACATCGTAATTAGGTTTAAATAGTAAAGACTAAAACCCCAAGTAGAATGGACTTGGGCCAACACAAGCCCAATTACATAAATAAAATCTAAAACATAAATAAAGTCCAACTAAAAATAACTAAAAAGTAGATGTCCTCATCACCATCTCCGCTTTCTTTTGCTGATTGTCTCTTCTAATTTGAGTCTCCATCCCAATTTTAATTCCAAGATAAATTCGTTGTGTATTTAAAATTGGTAGTCTTTTTGGACTGAAAATTCAAAACATTGCATAATACAAACTCTAGCGTGAGGGAGCATGATTTCAGTTAAAACAAAGGGTAATGAACATATTTTTTGAACCATGCAGTTTGAAAATGATACCACTTACTGTAATCAGCTTCTAATCCTTCTTGCTTTTACCAGGGTTTTTCGTCGATCTAAACTTATTCAAGGCTAGTAAGGAGAGAGCTGCAGAATTTGCCAAGGAAACTGATGCTGTATTTAAAACTTTGAATGAAAGCAATGGTGCATCTGGAAAAGATGGTTTAGCTGATGAAGATGCAAACCTGATGATCAAGTTGAAATTTCTTACATATAAGGTATGTGTGCTTCAGAGGCTAACTTATGAAATGGTTTGGCTCCTACTCGACCTTTTGTTTTTCAACAAACTAACCATATGCATGTATCTAAGCCCCTGTTTGGTGGGAATTAAAATTAGATTTTTAATAGATTTTGATAAAAGTTGATGAAATGTATGGTTGAAAAGTTGTGATTCCCGTGAAATATGTGATTAAAATTAATTGTTGACTTTGACCTGGATAAAATCAAGATTTTAATCCCCGCCAAACAGGGCTAAATGGAGAAATCATTTAGAAACCTTGGTTTTAAGTATTTTAACCAACTTCTGTGCTCATCTTGTTCCTTTCTAATTGATATTATATATTCATAAATAGAGTGAGATAAATTTACCATAACGGATTAAAAGCTTGTGTACAAAGAGGAAGTAAATGCATTGTTCTGTTTTATGGGTGTATAAAGCAAATGAAAGTACATCAGCCATTTAAGGGATCAAAAGAAACAAGCAGGTGGAAAGATCTCCAAACTCTCTGATTTGAGCTTGGGTCTGATAGGTTCCTGCTAGATAAGATGCTGGAAAACTAAATTGAAAGAAGGAAACAGAGGTATTGGAAGTATAATGGACTGCACTATATGTAATGAATGAAACATCAGATGCAATTAGAGAGGAAACTTGTCTGTACTTTATTCAATGATACTAAATGAAAGAGTTGTATACAATTCCCTGCACTTATGAAACTATTTTACAAGGAAGGTGCCAACTTTGGAGATGTATGGTCTCCCCACTCCCTTATTTTTTCTCCCC